AGGAAACCCTAAATTTAACATCCAGCCCCTGGGGAATATAATTTGTACCCTCAAATCCAACGGTGCTCAGTTAACCAACATAATAGAACACCTGATTTGTCAAGCCCTTTTCAGTTTAGTTTTTTAATAGATGGAAACTTTCTAGACTTTTAAGCCTCTCAGAAAAACGGTTCGAGAGACTGACACCTAATTGAGAATGCTGTTTCTAATGCAGCTGTCCGGTGTTGGACAGTGCGGAAACTTATCCTTTTTTCTGGTCCCGTGGCTGTGCACAGCAGTACCTTGAATACAGCTGATTACAAGATTTAAAGGGAAGGTAGGGTAATAATTCAAAGCTCATTGAAAGCTTGTCTATACGACTCTCACAGTCTCTGATGTGCAGATACTGTGATGGTTTTTAAAGCATAAACGCCCTTTTAAAATCTCGCCGGGCACAACCACCCCACAATTGTAATCCATAGGAAAGGTGGGGATGAATGAGGCCGTAATAGTCCATGACCAGGACTTGTGTTGGACATGAAGGCTTGAGATTACGCAAATACTTCCTTGCAATTTTCGGACAGATGCTATCTACATGATCTTGCAGTACAGCACTCTATCCAAGTGCATACTTTGGGGAATCAACCTCTTTCAAGTGTGTATCATCCACCATTACACCACCACGGTGACGTAGGGAAATTTTTAAAATAAATAAATCTCTTGCAATAAAATTAATAGCTAAAAACAACTCAACAACGTAACTTGTTATTCTAACTAACTGAGAGTAAATTTTTCCGATCTCTTTGTTCGATAAAGTATAAAACTAAAAGAAACGGTCAATATTTATGTTTCATCACAACGTCTTACCACGCCAGGCTCAGTGTTGTGATAATGTTATTTACTTTAAGTAAAAACAGTGTGCCCTGTAACACTGCCAACCTCATGACTTTTGATTTAAATGTTCATGTATTTGTGTATTTTTTTGAATGTGTGTATTTTTTATGTTTTTTTAAGTATATATATTTATATATTTTTTTGTGAATTTAACATTTTTAAGATAGATGTTCTTAGTTCAAGGTTACCTTTGAAAAGGTTTTAAACAAAATATATATATATATATATATATATATTTTTACAGATTTAGCAGTAGAAGTTGCACTCAATAAATATACAAGGACCTACGTTTTAATTATAATTACATCCTCGTACAAAGGTGTTTGCACATTTTCAATTGAGTGTTAATATGATACATTCCGGTATGTATTTCTTTTATTGGTTATTTATTAAAAGCTCTATATGTAATTATTTATGATGAACACACACTGACTGAATGTCAGTCAAGTTGATATACTGTTCCGATGTTTCGAGTGACATGTTTATATTAACGTCATCAATGACATGTTTCCATCTGTGACGCGAGTCATTATATGTCATGTAGGCAAATGAAAACAGGCTGAGATTGCAGTAGATTAATTTTGATTTTGTAAGAAAGGCAAGTAAAACGCTTATACACAAACACCTGTACTAGAAATAACTTGGGTCATAATACTACAGGAGTTTAACCTATTGGCAAAGGTAATCCTAAGTCAAAGACCTGTCATGATGAAGCTACACTGCTGCTGGTTCCGTTAATCGGTCATTTTTTGAGTCTTTTGAGAGTTTTGACCTTGAGAGTATTATTACTAACCTAAAAAACATTCGTCGTTCGCCAGAGAATCATATATATTTTATTGAAACTAAATGTTACCATGTCTTACATTATGGTTGCATCAAATTAGTCATTTAAGTCGAACAAACTGTATAAAGTGGGTGTTCATGTGAGCTTGCAATACAGATCAAAATCACACAAAAAAAACAATAATACTAAACAAAAACAACAACAAAAATAATTATACAACAACAACAACAATCCTATCGTTTTATTGGTCTCGTCACTTTGCTAAAACCAGATTTTTGGCCAAATGGCGTTTTAGTGAGGTCTTTTTGTCGCTTTCAAGCGACAATCCAGTGATGGTGGTGCTCCTCTTTTTAGCCCGGACTATCTACAACTGGAGAAAGACATAATTGAAGTAAGATACAAGGAAGCGGCGAGGCCTGAAAACGAGCGAGCATACAGTATCTTCTGTGATTAAAGCATTCGCGGCAAGGAATCTATGTTATCAATTTATATTGACGAGGAAAAAATTGATTTTCTTGAAATGTGTGAACATTGGCTCGTCAACCAGGATAAAACCCAGACACTGCTCTGCCTGCGTGTGGAGAGAAATGTCCCTCTTGACGAACCAGTGAAGCTCCTTGTATTTAACCTGGATAGGAAATTAGCATGGAATGATCACATTGGCAAAGTTAGTAGCAAACATTTTATCACTGAGCAATACCTGGATAACATCTATCATGCCATGTCCCACTGCCATGTGAGCCATGGCTGAATGAAAATGACTGCAAAACATTCGTCCCTGGACCATTTCTATGTAGATGAGAGATGTGTTTACCTCTATTTGAGTGCGATATACATGTTTGTACACAAATATGCAATCTCATAACTAGAGCATGCTTAGATGTATCACTATATACCTTTACATGATAAACTTGCTCAGTGATATCTCTGGACCATTTGTATGTAGATGAGAGTTGTGTTTACCCCTGGATGAGTGCGATATACATGTTAGTACCTAAATGTGCAGTATCATAACTAGAGTATTTTAGATACATCCCTATAATACTTTTACATGAAAATCTTGCTTAGATATAACTCTGAACCATTTGTATGTAGATTAGAGTTGGGTTCATTCTACGTTGAGTGCAAAATACTTGTTCGCTCCTAAATGTGCAATCTAATACTAGAGAACGTTTAAATATAAATAGAACTATTTAATAGCCAATGTATGAATTTTTGTGGAATTTTTATCCAACTTAAAGAAAGAGGTCAATTAAACATCAAGTTGTCCCATTGTTATACTGATCATTGAAATAACTCGGTAACAAAAACAATACTTGGGTATCATATAACTTATTTAGAGAACACTAAAAACTATTTATCCAAGGTATTCCCTATATATTAAATTCACTTAAAAATAATAGAATGTGTACAACTTATCGTGTAAATCGCTTGAGACATGGCAACATTCACTCACCAACGCCAAGATTGATAAAATCTACAAGGCGAGTCCAGGCCACGTTATCAAGTCATACATCAGCTTAGAACATGTTATTGGCACGGAACCTTTACAATTCAAAAGATTAAGACAACTATAAGGTACATACCTTAACGTCGACAGTTTAAATGTTGTAGTAAGTAAAACTCAAAACATGTTTCGCCTATTCAGGCATCGTCTGGTTATTACCTAACAAGAATGATTCATCAATGATAGAGTTGTAAAGAAAATGTTTAGTAAATACTCAAACACAACGCACGAAAAACGTTTACCATTTTAAGTAGGCCTACTAACCGGCCACGGCACGGAGGCAGACTCAACTGCAATAGGCAGACTAAATAGGTGAAACATGTCGTGGGCTATACTCAACATTTGAACATTTGACCTGTCGACGTAAAGGTAAGTACCTTATATTTGTCTAATTAAACAGTTCAGGGGCTGCATCATGAATTGTAATCAAAAGAATACTTAAGTAAAAATGATATACAAAGAACAGTAATAAATGTTAATCTAAATGTTGTATGCATTTTCATCACCAGTGTAATAATACTGTTACGTATGAGTGTATTTATTTAAAAATTGAATATTAAAAGTGATTATTCATAGGTAAATTACGAAGGACCACCGCAAATTACATTGCGGAAAATAATAAGAAACTTGAAAACATGTACCTTTACAAACTCCAGTGCAGACGTAGGGGGAAGTGGGAAAGATGGCGTATTTGAACTTCAGATTAGTGTCGGCGCTGTGACGAACCCTTGGTAGTTGGATGTTGGATGAGACGATTTTCGCTCTTCTTTCTGCTTGAAGGCTTGATGTTCGCACGTAACGCTAAGTCTTTTATTGTTCGTGGCCACTTTAATTACACGGAAGTCGCGACACCGCACAGGACACTTTGATTACTTGATGGTGCATGATTCGTGAGTTAATAAAACGCAAATAAAAATACTACTTGTCACTAAAACAACAAAAATAACTTCAGAATAAGATTGGGCAATATTAATTGCAATAAAAATGAAAACTGAAACAACTTGATGAAATAATGTAAATGGAAATGAGATTAAAAGAGGTGGCCGGTACTAGACCATATTAATAGGGCCGTGGACAGAGAGAGAATGACCAGGATACCTGTCTGAGGCGAACGACAAGCGATAAGGACAATGACATGAATAGAGCGATAAGATTGTTGTCTGAATATAAAATGGACTTGGGTTCTGTGGCTTTGGTGTTTGGCATTACCATTTGTTTTTAATTTAAAATAAATATTCTTCTTTTGAATTAATATAAAGTTGATAGTTCCTTTTTCCTTCTAAATACTAAACATACAGGGGGCCTTGAATCCTCCAGGATTCAACAAATCAACACAAAAATAATATTCCAATAAAATAAATCTTCTTTCCAAAGTGGTTGAGAAAAAATACTATTTACAAATTAAAGTTCTTGAAGTTACTCTTGATAAGCAGGCAAAGGAAAAACCTTGTGAGCTGGTCGAGTCAAGAGTCCTTGTTGAGTTTTCAAGTGGACGACCCGTACAACCTCATCCTTTCCAGGGGAGACACCCACAATCCGAGCTAACGGCCAAGAAAGAGGAGGCTGATGTACTAAGGCGAGGTCACCAATGCGAAGATTGGAATTTTGTTCAGTCCATTTAACCCGCTGATGAAGGGTGTGAATGTACTCCAGTTGCCATCTCTTCCAGATGCGTTGATTTAGGGCCTTGACCAAATGCCAGTGTTTCAGGCGATTATCAGGAACATCTTCCAGATTTTCATCAGGAACAGAGACAAGTGGAGCTCCGACCAAGAAATGTCCTGGAGTGAGCGCAGTGACATCTGAAGGGTCGTTTGACATTGGTGTGAGAGGTCTCTAATTAAGTATCGCCTCCACTTGAGTAGTCAGGGTCATGAACTCTGAGAGGGTTAGGACATGTTCGCCGATGACACGGCGGAGGTGATGCTTGGCACTCTTAACGGCTCCTTCCCAGAGACCACCTTGGTGAGGAGCAGCTGGGGGGTTGAAATGGAAGGTAATGTCTTGGTTTGAGGAAAATTCAAGAAAAGATGTTCGTTCAGCTGACTTGAAGAGAGCTTGAAAGGCGTTATTAGCACCAACGAAGTTTGTCCCGCAGTCCGAATATATGTTCTTGCAGAGGCCACGTCTTGACACAAAACGAGTTAGTGCAGCAATGAAGGCATCAGTTGATAGGTCAGTAGCTACTTCAATGTGAACAGCCTTTGTTACAAGGCAGACGAAGATACAAATGTACGCTTTTGTCAAACGTATTGAACGGAGGTTATGAACCTTGATGTTGAAAGGACCACCGTAGTCCAGCCCCGTGTTGAGAAATGGACGAGAAGGTGTCACTCGGGATTTTGGGAGATCACCCATCAGTGGAATTTTATTATGTGGTTTGTGTCGAAAGCAGATGACACACTTAAAAATTCGAGAGCGTATTGAGCTGCGGGCAGAAAGAATCCAAACGCTCTGAGCGAGAAGGGATTGAGTTAATTGAGGCCCTGAATGCAAATATTTCTGGTGATAGAAATCAATAAGAATGTCAATCACATGATGTTTCTTAGGTAGAATTACAGGATGCTTAACGTCTTCTGAAAGTTGAGATGCATTCAATCGTCCACCAACACGAAGTAAACCTGATTTATCAATGAAAGGATGGAGACGTCGAAGTGATGAATTGGTTTTAGATGAGTTGTTCTTCAATGCTGCGATGTCATCTCCAAAAACCGTTTCTTGAACCTTCTTGAAGATTGTCAGTCGACTTTGAGTTAACTCAGATGAGGTGAGAGGGCCTGAGCACCTTTTTGAGTGCCGGAGGTTATAGATGAATCGTAAAATGTAACCCATCACTCGTGTAAGTTTGCTGAAGTGAGAGAATCTAGTGAGGAGTTCCCATTCTTGAGTGGGTTTTATTGTAGATATAAGAGTGGTAGGTGACTGAGGTTTATTTTCTCCTGTTTTTGTAATATATCTAGAGGAGTAAAGTTTGAGGATGGCCAAGATTCACTCGAATATTGAAGCCATGGGGGACCAGACCATCAAAGTTCGTGGTTAGACAATTCTGATGGGAGGATACCTCGTGACGCGCAGTCAGCGGGGTTATATTCACTGGATATGTGTCGCCAGCAATGATTAGGTACTAATTCTTGCACCTGCGCAACCCTGTTCCCAACAAAGGTCTTCAATCGATGAGGTGGTGTCTGCAGCCAAGTTAGGGTGATAGTAGAGTCACACCAGAGAATGATGGATGAAATCTTTAATTTTATCTTGTAAATAGAAACCACATAGGCTACTATCTGGACAAGAAGATGGGCGGCGCATAGTTCCAAGCGTGGAATTGTAAGTTTTTTCAAGGGAGCAACCCGAGTCTTTGACATAATCTGTCTGATTGTGACAGTCCCATCACTGAGTTCACAGCGCAAGTAAACAACTGCAGCATAACCATTCTCGGAGGCATCTGAGAAGCCATGTAAGGCAGTAGTGCATGCTCGTGACACTTGAAAAGCTCGAGGAATTGAAATCTCTCGCAGGCTGTCTGTAGATGAAGTGAAACTTTGCCATATTTCGAGTAGGGCAGCGGGAAGTGTTTGATCCCAATCCAATCCTTTGGTCCACAAGAGCTGCATAAAACGTTTTGCCCACATCACAATTGGGGAGAGGAAACCACAGGGGTCATATATTTGTGCAATCACACTGAGCACCTGACGCTTTGTAGTTGCGCTTGCGGAAAAATTAAAATTGTATGTAAAACAGTCAGTAACTGGAGACCAGTGAATGCCTAAAATGGTGTGATGAGGCTGTGAACTATCTTGAAGGAACACCGGAGTCTCTCGATGACCATCTGGAAGATCTAGAAGAAGTCGACTGGAGTTGGAAGTCCATTTCCTTAGCTCAAAGCCTCCACGTGCTAATAGGGCGATGAGTTGTCTCTGGAGTCTTAAAGCTTCTTCTTCGGAATCTCCACCAGAAATCACATCGTCAACGAAGGTTTGTGTTCGAAGAATCTCTGCCGCTTCAGGGAACGAGTCGCCTTCATCATTGGCAAGTTGGTGCAAAGTCCTGATTGCGAGGTACGGTGAGCAATTGACTCCATAGGTTACTGTGGTAAGTCTGAAGGTAGAGGGTGGTTGATCTGGACGAGTATGCCATAGGATATAGTGAAACTTCTGGTCCTCAGAATGGACTTTAATCTGTCTGTACATCTGCCTTATATCACATGAAAAAACTACACTATGAGTTCTAAACATGAGCAACAAGTCACAAATGTTGGTTTGCATTTTTCTTCCTGTAAGCAAAATATCATTGAGAGATGTACCATTGGAGGTTTTTGCACTAGCATCGAACACAGTACGTAGTTTAGTGGTACTGGATGATTCCTTCAACACCCCATGATGAGGTAAATAGTAATGCGGGGCGGATAAGTCAACATTATGAGCAAGTTCCATATGTCCCGAAGACGAATAATCAGACATGAAGTCGAAATATAGAGATTTGAATTGAGGTTGAGCCTTAAACTTTTTCTGAAGTGAGTGTAGTCTTTTCTCGGCAGCAAAGACAGAATTTCCTAGAGCAGGGTGTTCAGTCTTGAACGGTAGTCGGACGCAATATCTGCCAGATTGGTCCCGAGAGTGAGTGGAGAGGAAGTGTTCTTCACACATTTTATCATCATCTGATTGCTTTGATGCGACTGGTGGCTCCTCCTGGTGCCAAAACCACTGGATAGAATTGTGCAGTTCAATGTCATTGACTGCCAAAAGTATGGTTTACATGTGAGAACTAGTGTCATCATCCAGCTTGATTGCACAGGGTGCGTCACCCATTACCAAAAATCCAAAGTGTGGGCCTATTAAACTTGGTAGGTTAGGCCCGAGGTTGTGAACTGCTTGAGTGAGCATGAGAGGGAAAAGTGATCCACCTAAAAGAACATCAATCCCACCAGGTAAATGGAACATGGGATCAGCCAAAACGTAAGAATTTACCATCTCAATGACACCAGAGGATATAGGCATGCGGGGTAAATCAACACATATTTTATCAAGAATTAAAAAGTTTGATTCAGTAGAGATAGTTTTTCCATTCAATGTCTCTACCTTGAGAGAAGTGGCACCTTTACATCGAGTAGGTATTTGAGAGAGGCCTACTACACTAGGCGCACTTTTTGTGCGTGAGACACATAAAAGTTGAGCAGCATGTTCTGTGAGAAAACATGATTGACTACCAGAGTCAGCGAGAGCTCGAAATACATGGCTAACTCCGGTGGGCGATACCAGCTTCACAAGTAAAGTGCCCAACAACACTGTTGAGGGATGATGTGTTGTGGAACATCTTTCTTGACTAGTCAGGGCTGATGAGAGTTGAGATGATGAATTTTCTTGATGAGCTGAGGAAGAATCACGAGTTGAAGTCTGAGGCGTAGCCTGGTTAGATGATTGACGAGGTTTACCATAAAAATGTAATAAAGTATGATGATTCTGATGGCATGTGTAACAGCTCGACTTAGATTTACAGTCACTCAGTAGATGATTCCCTAAACACGATGTGCACCGCTTATTCTCCTTTACAATCTGGTAACGGGCCTTAGGATCCTTATCTTTAAAGACCGAGCATGTATACACCTTATGATCAATTTTGTTGCATACAAAACATTTAGTGTACTTAGGGTAGGATTTGCTTTGATCACCAGAATGATAAGTCAGCATAGACACCTTATTACCTACCGATGATTTGTTGAATCTTGAGTTAATAAATGAATTATCAGATGTTGTTTTCACATTATGACTGCTGTGGAGGTTTGCTTCTTCAATTTGATTACATTCTTTAGTGAGAAACTGAATTAACTCAGTCACATTAGGTAAGGCAGGGTTATCACCATCACTGTCAGTGGGGTTATTAATTGCACGAAAAATCTCAAATCGTTTCCTTAAATCACTATCCAGTTTTCTCAAAAGCATGGCAGACAAAAGGTGATTATTTTTTGTAGCAATTTCACTATTTAAGCCTTTGAGTGCTTGAATGTTTTCATTATATAAATTTACAAATTTTCTCATTTGTTTTGAGGTGTGATTTACTGAGGGTAAGTCAAGAATCTGATTTAAGTGCAGAGTAACTAATCGTCTAGGCGAATGATACCGCTCTTTCAACAAATCATAGGCTACTGTGTAGTTTGCATCAGAAATAGGCAGGGATTTAATTAAATTCAAGGGTTCCCCAGAAGCAATGCCTAATAAATACTGAAATTTCACCACATCAGACAAAGATGAGTTTTTATGAATGCTAGAATCAAACAAATTTATAAAGGACACCCACTCCAGAGGTTCACCACTGAAATGTTTAAGTTCAAGCTTGGGTAAGCGTACAACCGAAGGTTGTGGAGTCGGAGTCTTATCACTCTTATTTTTTGAGGATTGAAGTTTACTTTCAAGGTTGGCAACATTGGCATTAATGTAGTCAATTAATTCATCAACACTATTTAGAGGAGCATAGTTGGGTTGAAAAGTAGGATCTTTTGCTAATTCAAGTTCATGGCAGGCATCTAAAGCCTCAGAGAAATCATCTCGGAGTTTATTTACAGACTTAGCCCGAATCAAAAACCTTTGCTGAATATCCTTATCAGACACTTTCTTGGACAAATCATATATCATCTGAATTTGAGTGAAGGCATTATCCTTTCTTGCATTTACAACAGCAAGGGAGGTAGCCATGGTTGCCTAGCAATCTTCTGTTTTAACCTTAATTTAGGCCTATTTCCAAAAATTGAGAGTAAATATTAATAAATTGCTATATCTTAGTGAGCACTGAAGGTTAGGTTCATGAACCAGTAAATAACCAGCTTGGTTTGTCTTTATAAAATAATAAAGCATAGGCTATGATGATAAAAAATATAATAAAGTTGTCCAAGTGTAGTACTGTAGGCCTAACTATTTAAACTTGGAATAATTAGTTATATTTCAGTAAATAGGCCTACTTACAGCCACAGTCCAAAACATGACAGTATTTCATTATTCAAATCAATCAGCAGAAAGTCCATTTTCTTCTTGTATAGATTATTCAATTTTATTTTGTAACACTTTAAGTTGAAAAAGCAGAAAATATTCTCAACCCATTAACTAAAATACATTTCACTTTATAAGTCCACTACATAAAGTAAAAATAATGCCAAACTAACCACTGCCACTTTGAAGTTGAAGTTTGGTCGGCAAAATGAAAATGTAAACAAACAAGATAATGAAAGTTAACGATCAGCTGATCGTTGCAGAAAATATTGGAGTTTGCCGAAACAGCTGCAAAGCAGCGCCTATGCAAGACGCGGAGAGTTAGAGAACTAATATTGCATGTAATGCACACTGGGAATATTGTTGTGACAATATGATTGGCTGAGCTGGAACAAGTTATGTGCGCGCATGCGCCGAGTGGTATGATTTAAAACATGACATGGACATGAACTGAACACTGACGGACTGACGTCACTGACTGGACAGAATGACAGAATGTCAGTCAGAAAGAGAAAGAGAGATTCAAAATGGCGGAAATGAGCAATGGATATATTTCCATAAAACTGGAAAATGATATGGCTCGAAATGACCAAATGTTACGTATGAGTGTATTTATTTAAAAATTGAATATTAAAAGTGATTATTCATAGGTAAATTACGAAGGACCACCGCAAATTACATTGCGGAAAATAATAAGAAACTTGAAAACATGTACCTTTACAAACTCCAGTGCAGACGTAGGGGGAAGTGGGAAAGATGGCGTATTTGAACTTCAGATTAGTGTCGGCGCTGTGACGAACCCTTGGTAGTTGGATGTTGGATGAGACGATTTTCGCTCTTCTTTCTGCTTGAAGGCTTGATGTTCGCACGTAACGCTAAGTCTTTTATTGTTCGTGGCCACTTTAATTACACGGAAGTCGCGACACCGCACAGGACACTTTGATTACTTGATGGTGCATGATTCGTGAGTTAATAAAACGCAAATAAAAATACTACTTGTCACTAAAACAACAAAAATAACTTCAGAATAAGATTGGGCAATATTAATTGCAATAAAAATGAAAACTGAAACAACTTGATGAAATAATGTAAATGGAAATGAGATTAAAAGAGGTGGCCGGTACTAGACCATATTAATAGGGCCGTGGACAGAGAGAGAATGACCAGGATACCTGTCTGAGGCGAACGACAAGCGATAAGGACAATGACATGAATAGAGCGATAAGATTGTTGTCTGAAGATAAAATGGACTTGGGTTCTGTGGCTTTGGTGTTTGGCATTACCATTTGTTTTTAATTTAAAATAAATATTCTTCTTTTGAATTAATATAAAGTTGATAGTTCCTTTTTCCTTCTAAATACTAAACAAATACATTGTCTTCATCAAAGGGAAGATTCATTTCAAAAGGTCCATTTCTTTGTGAAATGGACGAAGAGTTTATTGTAGGTTCAGAATATTCGATTTGTTATCACTTAACTATATTGTTGATTTATGGAATTAGAATCATAGCTGCAGGAATTGTAATCAGACTTTTGAGCTGCAAGAAAACAGTGTATTTTTCTATTAAACGACTGTGACGCAATCTATTTATTTTTTATATCCTTCCCCTGTACAAAAAAAAATTAAGAAAGTATTATTTTGAAGAATCAAATTTGAGTTTCTGGTAGATTTCTTAGTTTCGGTACCCCCCTGGGCAAAAGAAAATGGTTTTCGAAGTGATGCATGTGTGTGTGCGTGCGTGTGTACGTGTGTGGAAATGCAACTGCATAGTGCTATAGACCATACCCTATGGTCCATTATTGATTACATTTTTTATGTTAGTACTTATCTATTAATCACCTGGGATTTTCTTTCCTCCTTTTGAAACTTTGATTCTTATTGGTGAATAAAATTGAAATTTTGCATGTTTCAGTCATTTTAACTTCAAACAAGACACTACATCTCCATTATTAGTGTAATGTGATAACAAACGAACATTGTTTTTGAATGTTGCAATTGGATAAACATCCAAACATAAATGTTTCATAAAAATCTACGACTAAAAGATAAATATTCACAATAGTCTAGGATTTAAGTTTAATGCATATCATGTACTACCCGATGATTGAAAAGTTTAAAATTAACACCTTACTTACATTTACTGAACCAGACACAAAAAATATGTATGTAAATGAGCAAAGTATTTACATGGCAGCGGTGGAGAGCAATCG